AGGGGAATAAATCTTCCTCCAGAATCTTTTCCTTTAAGCTTTAGCAACACTATGAGACAGATCTCATGGCTGTTCACCAACACCACGTCAGGCAGGGGGAGAGGTGCTGAAGGAAAGGGGTAAGGAGGAAGGAATAAAACGGAAGGCATCATTTTGTACAGACTTGCCAGAAACAAGCAAAAACACGACGGTGATCCTCTGTGGATCTTCCTCTGCCTTCGTGAGCCAAGTTCCTTAAACTGCAGACCAGGACTCCTGAGTGAGTCCAAGAGTTAATGCAGGGATTACAACCAGCAGGTTTGGTTTCATTTTTTTGAAACAGTCTCACTTTGTTGTCCTTGGTAGAGTGCTGTGGCATCATAGCTCACAGCAACCTCAAACTCCTGGCTCAAGCAATCCTCTTGTCTCGGCCTCCCGAGTAGCTGGGACTACAGGGAGTAGTCACAATGCCCACCACAATGCCCAGCTAGTTTTTTCTGTATTTCTCGCTCTTGCTCAGGCTAATCTCCAACTCCTGAGCTCAAACAATCCACCCGCCCCAGTCTCCCAGAGTGCAAGGATTACAGGTGTCAGCCACTGTGCCTGGCCCAGCATAGTCTTTAAAAAAATACAACAGAAAATGTGTTAAGGCATCATGCCTATCACTTATTAAGGTATTGTTTCATAAAACTTTTTATTTTATTTTTTTTAGAGACAGTTTCACTTTGTCGCCCTTAGTAGAGTGCTGTGGTGTCACAGCTCACAGCAACCTCCAGCTCTTGGGCTTAGGCGATTCTTTTGCCTCAGCCTCCTGAGTAGCTGGGACTGCAGGCACCTGTCACAACACCCGGCTATTTTTTTTTTTATTGCAGTTTGGCTGGGGATGGGTTTGAGCCTGCCACCGTCGGTATATGGGGCCGGCGCCCTACTCACTGGGCCACAGGCGCCACCTTCATAAAACTTTTATATATGTCCCAAATTACAATGTAAAATGTATTTCTGAGTTTGGGCCATGTCAAAACACTTGGAAAAATCACTGGCCTAAATAATTAAACAGGCCATTTATTTTCTCACCATTCTCCCTGTACCCAGACTGTTAAGAATGCAGGATTAGGCTCGGCGCCTATAGCTCAACCGGCTAAGGCGCCAGCCACATACACCTAAGGTGGCGGGTTCGAATCCCCAGCCGGACCCGCCAAACAACAACGACAGCTACTACCAAAAAATAGCCGGGGGTTGTGGTGGGCGCCTGTGGTCCCAGCTACTTGGGAGG